GTCACCCTCATTCTGTGCTAGAAAAAAAAAAAAAGGGTTACTCATGGACAACTCCTTCTTAAGTACTGATTCCAGTGCTGTGATTTTAATGTGAATTTCTGTTGTGCAGCACATCTAGTTAACCCAACTCATACTTTCAGCCTGCAGCAATGGTTCAGTGTACCCAGGGCACAATTCAAGCTGCTCCCAACTTTGATGCTGGAAGGGATGCAGAAATTCTACGCAAAGCTATGAAGGGGTTTGGTAAGTAAGCAGTAGAAGTTTAAATTTCTACTGAGCTGGCCTTGAGATGCCATTTTGTCCTTTTCTTCAATTTTTATATAACCATACATTTCCCCTCCCCAAGCTTTTCAAAAGTTGCACTTTCTAAATTACTCAGACTATTTAGTGGACAAAGCTATAGAGAAAATTTGGTAGGCTTAAATGGTAGTAATTTATTATGTAACTATACCCAAATGCAAGATGATAAAATGCATTCTCAGAGGGATTATTACGAGTTCTTACATGAAATTGCCCTTCTATTTCCAAGGAACTGATAAGCAGGCTATCATAAATGTTGTTGCTAACCGCTCCAATGATCAAAGGCAAAAAATCAAGGCAGCTTTCAAGACTATGTATGGCAAGGTATGTTCATTAGTTCTTTGAATCACTAAGCAAACCCAAATCAGCTGCTGCTTCACCTGCCTGATTGCAGTTTAGTCCTGGGGAGTGGTTTGATCATTTTTGAAATGGAATTCTTTTGGTTATATTCTTTCAATATATTCCCCTGGCAGAAGCAGGGGTGGGGGGAAGGTTGGGTGGCTGGCTCTGTCCCTTAACCAAAGAAGAAGCTTCTCTGCTTTTGTAATGCTTGATAGATAGATAATAATCAAGCTTAATCTGTCCTTGTATTAGTGTTTAAAACTACTGAGATTCTTATGCATACAAAGCAGCCCTGAAATCTGTTGTTTTTTTTTTTTTTTGTAAGAAACAAACTAAGAAACTGGTTGAGGATTGGTTAGTCAATAAAAGGCTGAGATAAATTAATTTCTTCCCTCTGTTATTTTTGCAACTTAAGAGTGAAATGTTATAGTTGTGGCATTTTTCAGGACCTATCTAGGTCCTAATCAGTGAGGAGATAACAGAGAAGAGCTGAACTGTCAAAGGTTTGGATAGAGTGAAGTTCTTGATAAGAAATTAAACTAAGCTTTACAAGAAAAACAGCACAAAGCTGGAAATCAGTTACAAAAGTAAGTTCGATCTTTTTTGAAGTATCTAACCTACACAGCTAACACTCTGCAAAGCCTTGTGTTTATAATTGAACAGGATTTAATTAAAGACCTGAAGTCTGAATTAAGTGGAAATGTGGAAGAATTGATTTTAGCACTCTTCATGCCCAGCACCTACTATGATGCCTGGAGTTTACGTCATGCAATGAAGGTATGGTTTTTATGTAAACCGAATAGCTTAAAAACATCTTAAAATGCTTATCCAAGAAAAACCCATGCCTTACTGCTGCGTTGTTAAAAAATCCTGTAGTGGCAAACAAATTTTGGGACTGTGGGCTTAAAATTCTTTTCTGTTGTGCACCCCGGTTACAGCCAATTTCCTCAGGATTAGCCAATTCAGAGCTGCTGTCCATTCATCCTCTGCTCTCCGCCACTTATTCAGAACTAAGTTCTAAACTTAGTCAGAACTAAGTTTAGTTAAATAACTTACTCTGCCACTTGGTCACAAGTTGCAGAACCTAGAAAGGTTTGGTTGCTAGAACCTAGAAAGGGCCTGGCTGCTGTTAAAACTGTAACCACTGTTTAAATTGAAGGTATGTACCTCTCCTTATTAGGAACAAACAATTGTTACTGAATTTTATTTTTGGATTATCCCAGTGTTTTTCCAAAAGGACAGTAGTGAAAAATTAAGGTCAGATCATGCAGGTACCTGTTCAAGTGTTAAGACTGCATTAAAGATTAGGTGAGCTAGTTCATTTAAAACTTCAATTCAGGTAGACTGGTACATACAGTTTACCAGAATTTCCTTCTTGTTTGAGCTGCAGCAGCTAGCAGGTGGGTGATACTGGAATCGACTAGCTCAGCCCATGTATGAATGCTGACCTTCCAAGGAATCTGGAGCTTAAATGAAGATCTGGCTTTAGTGGAGCCAACAGTCACTCTTAACCATTTTAAAAAAGTCACAGCATTACCCAGAAGCCTTGCATAGATCCACTTCCATCTAATCCTTGCCTAAATAGAGATGACTAGGCCAGTAAGATATTTATTCTGGGGAGAGGGAAGCGTAGAATCATAGAATGGTTTGGGTTGGAAAGTACCTTAGAGATCATCTGGTTCCAACTCCCCTGCCATGGGCAGAGAGACCTTCCACTACACCAGGTTGCTCCAAGCCCCATCCAACCTGGCCTTGAACACTTTCATGGATGGGGCAGCCACAACTTGTCTGGGCAACATGTTCCAGTGTCTCACCACCTTCATAATGAAGATTTTTTCCTAATATCTAACGTAAATCTCCCCTCTGTCATTTTAAAGCCATTCCCGCTTGTCCTGTCGCTACATGCTCTTGTGTAAAACTCCCTATATTTAGGAAAAGTTCCTGCCGGTGCTCCATGTTAATGAAGCAGCAACACTTGGAATAGGGAGCACATTTGTATGCTGACCAAACCAGAATTTGTGTGTGTGTCTTTGGATTTAATGATTAGCATAAGTCTGTACCTTCCTCCAGTATGTTTCCAGGTTAAGGTTGTCAAAGAACTTCCTTTCTACACCATTTTCTAGTTAACTTTGGCTGATGTTACTGCTATGGATATAAAGCTTTGGGGTACTTTTTGAACTGGTGCAGAACTAAATGTTTGAGGAATCTTCGTTCCATTTTAAGTACACCGAAGACTCGGTGCTTTCGCATTGAAGGGATATTGTTCTTGCAATGTAGATTGTATTAAGTTTTGAAATAACATGCTTAATTTCACAGTTGAAGAAAACTGAATAAGTAGTGCTTTTTAGTTATGCCCTCTTTTTCTCTGCCTACAGGGAGTAGGCACTCAAGAGAGAGTGCTGATTGAGATTCTTTGCACAAGGACAAACCAGGAAATAAGAGAAATAGTGAACTGCTATAAATCAGAATTTGGACGGGACATTGAACAAGACATCAGAGCAGACACTTCAGGACACTTTGAACGATTACTTATATCTATGTGCCAGGTAAGCTTGAATTTTTTTTGTTGTTTGGGTAAGGTAACTGTGTACAGTCCAACTTTGATGCATGTAGTCATAATGGCCTCAGAAATAGCCTGAGTCTGCCTAGCAAGAGCCAGGTTTTTAAGAAATTACCTCTGAGCCATTTATTCCCTAATGACAGGTTCCAGTATAGGTTGGGGAACGACCTGTTAGAAAGCAGTGTAGGGGAGAGGGACCTGGGGGTCCTAGTGGACAACAGGATGACCATGAGCCAACACTGTGCCCTTGTGGCTAAGAAGGCCAATGGCATCCTGGGGTGTATTAGAAGGGCGGTGGTTAGTAGGTCGAGAGAGGTCCTCCTTCCCCTCTACTCTGCCCTGGTGAGACCGCATCTGGAGTATTGTGTCCAGTTCTGGGCCCCTCAGTTCAAGAAGGACAGGGAGCTGCTGGAGAGAGTCCAGCGCAGGGCAGCTAAGATGATTAAGGGAGTGGAGCATCTCCCTTATGAGAAAGACTGAGGGAGCTGGGTCTCTATAGTTTGGAGAAGAGGAGACTGAGGGGTGACCTTATCAGTGTCTATAAATATATAAAGGGGGAGTGTCACGAGGACGGAGCCAGGCTCTACTCAGTGGCAAACAATGATAGGACAAGGGGTAATGGGTACAAACTGGAACACAAGAGGTTCCACTTAAACTTGAGAAGAAACTTCTTCTCAGTGAGGGTGACGGAACACTGGAACAGGCTGCCCAGGGAGGTTGTGGAGTCTCCTTCCCTGGAGACATTCAAAACCCGCCTGGACGCATTCCCGTGTAACATTATCTAGGTGTTCCTGCTCTGGCAGGGGGATTGGACTAGATGATCTTTCGAGGTCCCTTCCAATCTCTAACATACTGTGATACTGTGATACTGTGACATGTCAGTCCCTCCTCAAAGAAGTGATGCTATCTACAAATCTGATGAATTGTGTGACCTAATTTAGCACCCTGTATTCATCTTGGAGAATTTATGTGTAAATACTTTATTGTGCAGAAGCAATCAATTGGTTCTATAAAGCAGAGCTCCACACTGCTGTTAAAGCAAGATACTTTGGGGTTTTTTTTTTTGCCTATGTTAACAAAAGAATTTGTGTGGATGTGATTATACAGGTATGGCTGAGTGGAAACCTCATAGCAGCCTTCCAGTATCCGAAGGGGGCCTATTAGGATGCTGGAGAGCAACTCTTCATTAGGGACTGTAGTGAAAGGACAAGGGGTAACGGGTTAATACTTAAACAGGGAAAGTTTAGATTGGATATAAGGAGGAAGTTCTTTACTGTGAGGGTGATGAGGCACTGGAATGGGTTGCCCAGGGAAGTTGTGAATGCTCCATCCCTGGTGGTGTTCAAGGCCAGGTTGGACAGAGCCTTGGGGTGACATGGTTTAGTGTGAGGTGTCCCTGCCCATGGCAGGGGGGTTGGAACTTGATGATTTTAAGGTCCTTTCCAACCCTAACTATTCTGTGATTCTATGTATAGCACCTGTAAGAAGCCCTGTGAACAAGTCAAGAGGTACCACAGCTTCCAAGTTACACCATAGCCTTCCTTCCCTTCCCATCACTAGAATTTGGGAGCTCGCTTATCCCATATCATATACTAGGGCTCTTTTTGCGTTGCAGTTATCCATGTCAAGGAAGAAAAATACGTACTAATGCAACTTCCACATTTCTCTGATCCATCTGCCTATTTGCTGTTAGAATTTCTATGCTGGTTCTCTGTCTCATTTGCCTCAACCTTTGTGAGAGTTCAGCTGCACACTAGCTATTTGGATTAAGAAGTCAAAATTCACAAGAAAGAAAACCTTGAGAAGCTCATGCTGCTAATTTTTATTTTGGTAAATCCAGTCGTTTACAATAACTGACAACCACATAATTTAAATATTGTAATAACCACTATAGATACAACACTATTAGAGAGCTTGTGTTCAGCCTACTCAGCCAGTACATTTAGCAACATCCATCCATGCACCGGGCAGCAAAAAAAAAAACCACAAACCCAAGGCACATAAAATGTCATATAAGCTCTACTACATATTACAACTACAGTAAGTGCTTTCTGGAGTCATTCTATGATTCTTAGTCAAAATTAGCAAATTCTAAATAAAACAGAAGACCTGAGATATTTCAGGTGTGCATATTCAGTAAGATAATTCATTAGTTCATTTGGGAAGACTCTTTGCAACTTCAAGCCTAGAAACAAACAAATCAAGAGAAAGCTTATATTATTAAGAAAAATACAGAATTAAGTTCAGTATGTAATTAGAAGTATGAGATGGTATACGGGGGTGAAATTATCTGAGTCAGTGTTATCTGCAGTTTAAAGCATGCCCTACAGGTAGGGTTCTGGGTCACTTCTGAATTTGTTGCCTATAAGAAATCTTAAACTAAAGAGTAGCTTCAAAGCAATGTGAAGAATTTCAAACTGGCATTGCTCTTTCTGCTTCAGGCTTTGAAGATATGCTGCAAGCGCAGACCCCAAGCCTTTTTTCATTTGTCATCTGTTATCTTTGCTTTTAGGGTAATCGGGATGAGAACCAAACTGTGGATTACCAAAAAGCTCAAGAAGATGCTCAGCATCTGTACCAAGCAGGTGAAGGAAAACTTGGGACTGATGAATCTTGCTTTAATATGGTTCTGGCAAGCAGAAGTTTTCCCCAACTGAAAGCAACAGTTGAGGCATACTCCAGGGTAGGAGTTCTTTCTTCATTTCAAATGAGCTTGGTCAGTGTATTTTAAATTCAGCTTCCTGTTGTTACCACATTTCATTATCCTCATATTAATCTCATTTATTTGTAGATTGCTAATCGTGATTTATTAAGCAGCATTGACCGAGAATTTTCTGGAAACGTGGAACGTGGTTTGAAGGCTATTTGTAAGTGATATGTTCTTCTCTCCATTTATTGCTTACGAATTAAACCTTATACACGTAACAAAACAGTAATCCAATTCAATAGTGGCTGTATGGCAAATGAATACACAACCTGAGACTTTGCTAATACAAAACTTCAATTATTCAAATTATTCATTTTACCCTTAACTGGAGAAAATAAGCATCCACTATGGAGAAGTGAGTTTGAAACAAGAAAAGGCTACACAGAAACTACTTGTCCCTTCTCTGGGAAGGCAGGCAAGGACACAGAAGTAAGGGTCACTGGTTAGCACTTGTAACTGCATTTTTCAGAGCCCTGCAAAATGATATGAGTACTGGTAGAACCCAGCCGTGACTCTAGTTGTGACACACCTCAGCACAGACAGTTGAGCAACCCCACACATCATCTCAGAGCCAACATGAACATACTTTAGACGCAGTTTCTTTTCCACCTCCCTTCCCCACCACCACCTACCCCTAAAAACCTCAGCATTTGCTAAGGAAAATGTCAGCAAATAGAAGACCTGTTTTGAATTCACTTTTTCCTACTGACTTGTATAGTAAAGCAGTTAACATTTAATACAATTTGTCAACAGTGAGCATCAGTATGACTCAGCATTACATCTGCAGACACCAATGCTTACCAGAATGACAGCATTTCCGTAGCCGTAACATATAAGCAAAAACTTCCCAGATTATATTCTACTTGAGAGTTTTATGGGGAAAATGATGTAAAAGAATAAAGGCTTGTCTCTGAGAGCAAACAATCTAACTGAAACAAGATCCACTCTGAAACTACCGGAGTGACAACTTTTCACAGCTGTACTTTTCTTAGTGAGATTCAAGCAGTGGAATATGAGTAAAATACCCTGTGTTCCAGTACCAGCCTACCCCCAGAGAACAACTGCTTCTGAATTACCTATTTGAGAATTAAGGTTTCAGGCAGCTTTGAAAAGCACTTCCAGAAAAGTTAACTGCTAATAACTGTAACTTAGTGTGTGAAAGAATAAGTCACTTGGTCAGCTTCCAAGTAACTCAGCTCTGTAACACAGTTCCTGCAGTCCACAGAAACTGCATCTTCACCAACACCTACCTCTACAGCAAAAATCATTAACTGATCCTGCCAGGCATCACTGTACAGTGTACAATGCTGGAACTAATCCTAAAAATATACTTTATTGCAGTGCAATGTGCTTTAAATCGCCCAGCCTTTTTTGCAGAAAGACTTTATTATTCTATGAAAGGAGCTGGCACAGACGATTCTACCCTCATCAGAATTATAGTCACTCGCAGTGAGGTAAGAAACCTTCTCTGAAAGTGCTGCACACAGCAGAAAGCTTTCTGCCCTAACCAGCTTTTCACTTAGTCCTCCTTCACAGCCGCAGAAATACTGTTTTGCAATGAAGCTTTTACGGGGTTCAGATTCAGACGAACATGTTAATTAGCTTTAAAGCCAGCTTTTATGTAGTAATTGAATTATCTCTGGCTAGATAGCAATACTGCTTGTCTTCCTTCTTAACTGTGGTTGCCTGCCCATGTAGCAGATAGGCACCCTCAAGTTCAACAAGTTCAGCTGTTAGGCATTAGGATAGTATAGTCCTACCAAAGCAAGAACAGCTGCTAGACTGTTTTGGGAGCTGCTCCTCTGGCCTTGGAGGGACCAGTTGGCTTGATGACATGCAGTTATCAGTTGCACATTTCACCCATGGTGTGTGTTCCCTAGTCAGTGAGGGAGGAGATGTGGGGTGACTGTCCAGGTGTTAAAATCATACTCTGTGTTTATGTTCTGTGCTTTTTTCTTCCTTTGCCTAGCTTGACCTTGTGCAAATTAAACAGATGTTCTCACAAATGTATCAGAAGACTTTGGCTACAATGATAGCAAGTGATACAAGCGGTGATTACCGGCGTTTGCTGTTGGCGATTGTTGGTCAATAAAAGAGTATCTGGTTTTTTGTTTTCTTTTATAAAACAAGCTGAAGGACATGTAACATGCTTTATGCAGACACTCACTATCCTTGTGTGTAAAAGAATAATTTTAAGCTTTGTATAATCGAATATGCCTTCTGGGTGATTCAATAAGCTTGTTGCACTTAAAATTGCCTTAATTTACAGCACATAATATTCCTTATTGTATAATAAAAGATATATCTTGTCTACTACCCCAAGCCTTAGTCCTTCTGACCCAGACAAAAAATCTCTTCCCTCTGCCAGACATGATTAAACTCAAGACGCATCTCCAGCACTCAACAAGTTCCTTGATATACCTGAACTGCTGAGCTAACTGTGGATGACAAAAAAAAGCCTGAGGCTGTGATGTAAAGCATTTTACACCCCCTCCTCCCCCAGTGTTTCCACTAATGTTGAAAAACATGCAAGTGCTCAGTTTATGTCACATTACAGTGACAGTTTAGGGACCTTGGCAGAATATGACTGTACAGTCCCCCCATCCCCCCCTTTAATTTCTTACATTAGTTACCATTAATGGTTAGTTATAATTATGCTTAAGGGAGCAATAGACAGAAGAAACAGTTTTGTATCTAATTTTGAGGCATCTCCTCGTAAGGGAGTAGGTTACACAGCAAATGACTGAGCAATGAGAAAAGCTAGTATGTAAATGCTAACACTATGGATCATATGTCAAGCCCAACTGAAAGGGATTGTGACCTACACAATATAAATTACTGTGGATGTTTTCAAAGAGCTTAAAAAGAACAGCGCTGAAGAGCATATCTGGTTTTTCAGAAAGCCACAGTGAATCTGTCCCCAGCCATGAATTCAACAGAAGCTTCAAGTCTAGCAGCTGCCAATGCGTTTCCTAACATTTCTAAGCAAAGCTTTAACAGTGATTGTGTTCTAGGACACCCTCACACAAACAGCAAATCCCCATTTCTGTTATCCCTCAAACAAAACCAGTTCAGGCTGGCAGAGTTGATTCTAATCTGGCAAACTTTTTACTCCTACACAGCATGGACATGAAGGTTTTTGCAAAACAGTAAGAGTCAGAGTATACCACACAAAAAAAAACCTGTCGTATTTCACTTACACTGATGTTCTGCTACCTAAAATCTGACTTCAGACTATATGTATATAGCTGTCAATAGCTTTACAAGCGTCACAGAGGTTCTCGTAAGATTTGGTTCTTGTTTATTTGCTCTTGGGCAAACTTCCTTACAATTGAAGTAGCCTGGCATTTAATAATTAAAGCATATTAGTACCTCTGTGTCTTTTTATGTGACTAAAAGAATCCCCATCACTTGTCATTCAAAGTGGAGTATTGATTAAGTCTGGCTCATGCATACTACTACTCCAAGAAAATGCACAGATGAATAGGGTTCTATTTTCCAGTGACATTCACCTGGTTTATGGCAAAAAGTTCTCTTCATTACATGCCAGTAAGGAAGAATTGTTAGATGGGTAACAAGAGCTGAATAATAATGATATTGTAGTAGAAAACAGACAAGGGAACAGGTACTGTCTATTCTGATTCTGAAAAAGCCTTACTTTTCTATGTTGCTAACACAGCAGTGTTTCAACATGAAACATTAGAAAACAGAAAGCCATTTATGAGACTGTTTCACTTACAAGTGTTGAGACTCAAACCAGAAGGGACCTACCACTTCCTAAGAGAAAACCAGCCCCAATCCCAACCATTTGTCTTTTTGCTAGAGACCAACTGTCACAATTCAATCGATAGGACTATAGCAATTTTTCCACTTCACAACTGGAATTTAGAAAGCTTTTGAAAGGAAAGCTGTTGTTTAACACTGTAAGTAATTCTGTGTTCTGAAGCTGTGTGTGCCCTAAGTACAGGCAGACACTGAGCTACACTGGTCTTCCCTGGCCGGCTCACCAGGTAGCAGCAAGTTTCTCAACAGCTGAAGTTCCTGCTTTGAAACAGGCCCCAAACCTTCATCAAGTTTCAGAACAACACATTTACCCTCCTTGGCAGCGCCAGAATCCCCAGCCTGCTTCTCAATACTCCTCCTCGCTGCTGGTGCCCTACAGACAAGGGAACCACAGATGGTGATTTAATCCATCAGCTCAGGGATGAAATAGCCTCTCTGGGAGCCACACACCATCCACAGAACCCATGGCAGGGCAGCACTGCCTACTCCAGCCCAAACCAGAACCCAGCCATGCCTCTCACAGCTTTTGCTACCTGTGTTCTCCAACAGAGGCATTCCCAAGCCTTCTGCCCTTACTACCCAAGAACACTACCCAAGGTTACACACTTTTTTCTTTCCCTCCTTAAAATGCTGAAAGCATAAAACGAACAAAGCAAACTACTTACAGTTTTCTGGGAGGAAGGATATAATTTCTTCTCCCCAACAATACAAGAATTAGAGACAGCTCCAGACACCACCTTTCAGAAACACAGTAGCAGAAAATGAGTACCTACTTTCCAAACAAAGAAAACCCACCAGGATCATCCTGTTACCTGACTTAAAGGGTGGCAGGAAACCCACAGATTTCCTGTTTGACCCATCAGGTCAATAACTGCCCAAGAAATTTTCCCTTATTGCAGATCTGCCTTCATATCTGGCAAAAACTACTACAGACAAAAGATGCTGCCAGGGAATGCTCAAGCAAGCAAACCAGGTGCTGCAAGGGAATCCTCACAAGACCCAGCTTCACTGCAGCTGGGAACTTACTGCCATGCAAGAATCACAACCAGTTCTCTCCAGTTATACCAAGGACTTTCCAGACAAGGACTGAATCTGTATTTTCTTTGCACAGACAACTCCAGCTAGTCAGAATACTGATCACAACTAGAATGTGATATCACATCATGAAAGATACTGTTTTGTGAGGATGAGAAATTTTCCACTAGTGCTCACAAGGAGGAAGGTACCATCATAATGTTCATCATGTAAAATTTCAGTTGTATTTAGTAACACATGCTTGTCCTGCTCTAATATGACATATGCAGACACGAGTCTGCTCATGAGTATGGGAGTGCTTCATACAAAACACCAAACACTTACCAGTTTTAAACTTGATCTTCTGCACTCAACCTTTGTGGAGTTTCCAACTAGAACGCATCTGCAATAAAGTAAAATTAAATATTAAAACTCCATTAGCATAATATAAATTGTGACTTAATGATTTTTATCTTTTATCTTCTCACCCTGTTCAGCAGCTTATTCTTATTTTAAAAAGAATATACCAAAAAGACTAAATGACTTCTCTGTATTGACTATGAACACAAGCAATCCTCCCTTTCTACCCCAAAAAGCAGCCCCAACACACTTCATTGGTTTTGAACATTTAGTTCAAACCAACACCCAAAATGTAGCTACACTGAACACCCTTTCTAGAATCAGCTAACACTGCTCTGTGGAAACCAGCAATGGATGCCCAGTTTAGCAGACAGCAAACAGCTGGGTATTTTATTTGTGAGAGAGAATTCAAAAGCAAAAGAAAAAAATCAGGAATACAATTTAAATTAAATAGCACTGACATTCAAGCAGTTCTCTGCAAGCCACATCTGAGCCTTCAAGCTTTTTTTGCTACCTTGAATTTTGAAGACTATTCCCAAACAGTTTTCAAGGCCAGATTAGACCTGCGTATGCCAAATAACACCCATACACAGTGATAGGAGCCGCAGCCCATGCACAAAATTTATTGTGTGCTACCGTTTATAAAATACTTGAATAGTTCAGAACATGCACAAAATTTCCAACTCAGGGGTATGTACAGATCGTACTTCATGGAAACAAACAAAAAAAGGGGGGGGAGATGAACTCTAGTGACCTAAGTTTCAAGTTGTGTTCCAGGGGATGAGAGGGACATGTAGCAAATGTCAAAATAGATAACAAAGTACAGTGGCAATCAGTACAGTCCATTAGCTGTGAACAAATTAGCACAGGGCTTCAACTTTTATTTTAACCAAGCAGTCCTGTAGATACCAAAATACATGCAGTCTCAAGTTTACACTTTCACTAATGCCTTAGCAGTTGAACAGAGCAATTGCTTACGCGCTGCTTTGCCTAAACAAAAAGTATGTCTCATACAGGTTCAGTTTCTTTTACGGATTGAAAAATAATAAAAAGCTTGCAGCTATTCAGCCCGGTGATTATTAGCTATTTATGCAACCGTAATACTCACAATAAACTAAAAGTACCCATAACATCTAGGTAACCTATAGATGTACATCATAGGTCTATATATTAAATATTTGCAAAATGAAAACATGCATACACAAAATACAATGCCAAGCTTTACAGACTTGATATGAATCAAAATTTACTTAAACAATGTACAAAGTTCAATTAAAAGTACCTTAAAATTAACACTTCCATATTTTTCTTACTTTTAAAATTAGTATATATAATTTTTTTTTTTTTTTTTAAAATTCAAGGTGGGGAAGAGTCTTGAAAAAGCTGGGCAAAAAAGTTTCTGAATTAAATATTTGTTTTTTAAATCTGTGTTCAAGTAATAAACATTCCTACATAGAAATCTTCTGATAAGCTGTAACTAAAAAATACAGTGAATACAATAGAGAATTAGCAACATCTAAGGAGTAAACCTGAGGTCAGCATTTTACTGAGTGACCGAGATTTTTTTTTTTGGCATTTTTTCTGTCTACTTAAAACACAGTTTTTGCAGCCTCAGATATTTTAAGACCATTCTAATCTATCATTTTAAAGACATTTCATGAAACCGATGTCCATTAATAAATAGTTAGCTCTTAGGGTTGTATCTGAAAGTCTGATTTAAAAAAACAAACAAACAAACTACCTATACCGAAAGAAAAATCCCATCTGTAAACTTAAGTGTTGACAACGATAAGCGTAAGATGCTAGTCTAGTTGTGCTTTAGCAGTAACAGCCTCATCCTTTCCGCAGACTTCTGAACTTCAGCAGCCAGTGGTGGAGTTTGTGTGAACAGGCGAGGCAGGCTCCCAGGAGGTCAGGTCGCCATGTAAAGAAGGGGGCTGTTGTCTCAAAAGCACGACGGTTGTTCTTCAGCGGGATCAAGTCAGATGGTTTTCCACCTCATGTGAAGTAGTTGCTTCGAGTGACCCCCCTGGCTATTTCATCTGTTGTCACATCAAAAAGCAGTAATCTAGGAATTCTCAGGCAAGACATGAGTGAGTAAACCAGAAGCTGACGTGGTCACTGTGCATTGTTGTTGCCAGTTCCATTGTTTCCATTGGCATTTGTTGTGTTTATAGTATTAATACCATCTTGCTGAAGAGCATCTTTTCTTGGTGGCATTCTCTCATTGATCCTATCCAAACCTTTTGCTTCTTCAAAACTGCAGATTCTATGTTGCGGAGAGAATCCTCGTATTGCTTAACAAAATGCAAATTTGATATGTCAGTAATAGAAAAATAAGTAGAAAGCATATACTTTTTCTAACAAATGATGTTTTAAAAACAGGTAAGAAATCAGCCAAAGAAACTTATGGCTCTGCATTTGTATTAGTAAAAGCTTCTCTAACCTGCTTTCCTGAAATGTTCAACGGCAATCATGAGTTCAGCTTGTAACAAAAGAACAAAGTACAGCAAAATATTCTGCAAGTAGGAATCAAGGGGTTTAGACCCACTTGATTGCTTCTGTGCATCGCTGGTGTGGCCAGCTATCAACACCAACTGCTCCTGCTGCCTGGTGTGTCAGGCGTATCTTGACATCCCCCTTCTCTCCAAGAGAATGTCGGTAAGATCTAAGCAGCACAGCAAGTGCAGTGGAGGCAAAGCAGCAAAGGATTCTAAAATAGTAGATTTACATCCTGCACAGCATCGATGGCCTGATCCTGCAGTTTTCATGCAGGCAAAACTGCAGGATGTGGTTCACACTTGGTGCTAATTGCGGATGATGGAAATGGACACAACCACAAGCACTGAATTAGCACCGTGGTTAAACAATGGTACCATTTAAATACAAATGTATTTAAAATAAGTGTAGAAAATAGCTATTATTTTGCTACTGATTATTTTAATAAATGAGGTCTGTTGTTGAATTGACACCTGAAAATGGTGGACCACATAATAAGACTGAAGTCTTTGGGATGAAATAATTCTTTGGAGAGTAACTACAGCTTTCCACTCACAACAACGGGACCTCCTGCATGTGTGTGAGCATGGAATACAGCACTTGCTTATATTTTTGGATCTCTGACTTCCTTAATTAAAAAACAAAGAACACAGTCATTAAATGGTGCTTTGCGACCAAACCTGAAAACCCCCAAGGGCAGCTCCCTTAACTGCTATGCTGTTTGCCATTCACTACACTGAATATTGAGCAAGAGGAAATTAAAAGTCTCACCACAAAGACAATAATCTGAAGTTGAATACTCGGAATACCAAATAATTTGACGGCATTTTGCTCAATATCACCAAAAAAGGAGAAATATACTACTTATATAGCACAGAAGCACTGATAATCCATGGAAATTAATAAGCCTCATACTGGCAGGCTGGCGTATGTACTGGAAATAAATTTGGTCAATAAATTATGTTCAAAATCTACAGAAAAATCCCATTACATTTATAAATCTTGCACTATCAGAAACGTTATGGAAAGTTTTAAAAACATTTGTTCAAAGCCATTAAAATAGATTTTATGAGAAAAAGGCATGCATAAACAACCCTCCTTCCACATGTAACCCCCCCATCAAACACAACCTTGCAGTTGAATGAAGAAAAAAACCCCAACACTAAACACTACCATTTTTAAGGACTTCAAGACAACACCACGTATCACAACATGCTATTATACAAAAAACCTACTGCATAATTTGTAAAAACAAACAAAAAAAAGACCAAAAAACCCCCAAGAATTTCCCTAAAATATTAAAGATTATCATCATCCTAAAGCCAGAAATGAATGTTACATGTAAAAGGGATGAATCAATGCAGTTGATTCATCTCTGCTTGTGCAAGTTGAAAGTAAAACACACCCACACAGAGTACTTTTGAATTCCCTCCCAGACACCACAGATCTCTGCCAATGGCAAAGACTCTGATCATACCTTTTTCAGCCTCAATTGCCTCTACAGTGGCTGTACAGAAGTGAGCAGATGCATGCAAAATGAATGAGAAAGATGAAGAGTGTAATATCGCATAGCAGAAAAGGCAATGATCAATTTAATATAGTATGCTACGCCAGATTAGATTACAGTTAGTTAAAATCATAATTAAGGTTTTGGGGAGTTGTTTTTACGTGGATCTTCTAAATTTTAACTAATACAGTTTATCACCTACAAGTAACTAAGAGCCACACTAATTAACTGATGTTATTAATTACACATTTCTCTAAGTTTCCTGGGTTCGTTTGGGTTTCTGCGAGGGAGCAACAGAAAACTTACAGTAGGTTAAAGTTGTGGTATGGATTTTAAAAAGTGCTAAAAATCTCTTTGAGACTACTGATTCTAAAGATTAAAACGCAGTAGTGAACTTCAGTAAATTATCAGGAAGTATACGATGAAAATATTCTAAGAAATTATTTTTCTCTTTATGTTTAGCTGCCTGAAGTTAAACAAGTACATCAAATTCTCACTGTATTTTAAGTAAAAACTTCTATGAGAACTGAACAATGAAATTTAAGACAGGAAATCTAGCAAATCATCTTTACAAAGTTTCATCAATTGTTTAGCTGAATGAAAGACAAATTCTACAGCAGGAAGAGGTTTGGATTTAACATAGTCTTGGTGGGTGAATCAATGTGACTATGAAAAGTTTAGCTTACTCATTTTTTTTAACTAAATAACCATGACATCTACTGCAATTTCTTAGGTGTAAGACCTTGCCCAATCGTTTTAGCTCTAGAAGTCAAAGCTTTAATATAATGTTATTAGGATATAAAACCCCCTTTCTATTAGGGCAGCCTTGCTAAAGAAAC